TCTTCCCATGTATTGGAGGCACGGTTTGGGAAATTATTAATTGTAGTTTATCTTCTGGTGTTGTGCCTGGTTAAGGTGAGGTGGCGACTTGACGCTGATCTCCATCAGCTGATAATAGTATTTCCGGAAAAGAGGTGATTCTTTCATGACAGGATGTCTCTGCTTTTGAACACAAAGTGAACAGCCTGTACGACTGAGTGAATACTGCCCCAAACAGAACCACACATCAAGACAAGAGGCCAGTGCATCTCAGCACAGCCGTTTCAGCAATTTCAGCATTTCCAGCAATCAGTATCCACACACACTTTCTTCAGGAAATGCATTTGTCTAGTTGTTTGATGTTTGCTTGCCACTGACAGTATGTAGGTAGTTAAAAGTAAATGTACATGTTTACCTTCCTGTATTACTGTACACAGACCTTTCAAGAAAGTTTACCACTGAACCTTAGAGAACATATAGTCTCAAACATTAAGTGAGCAATCATTTCCTGTCTGCAGCCCAAAGTTCAGTGGACGCCAGCTGTAGTGGGAAAATAAAAATGTTTACAGTATATTCAAGCCAAGAAAGCAACTGGAATCTGCTCTGTTTAGCTCACTGGTGTTCAGACAGACACTACACACCTTTCCTCAGTAATACGGATTATGGCCTAAGGACACCTGCCAATTATGGATTAGCACACGACATAATATTCATCCATCCATTATCTATTCTGCTCATCATGTTTATCACAGGGCTGACACTTTGAAAATAAAAATAAAAAACACCTGGTGGAATGAAGTTAAAAAGAAGCGAGCTCCACCACTGCTCGTAGTGATGTCAAAATAAAAGTCAACACCAACACAAATACAATCAATTTGGCTTCTTTTATAAGAGCTATATGTACATTGTATCTGGTTTAACCTGGTAACAAATTTCTATAAATGCATTACACAATAAAACTAGATAATTTCAGCTGCCTGTCTAGTTAGTATGTGAAGACTGAGTCAGAATAGGGGAGTGATTGTCATAATCTTGCCAATATGTCAACATTGTATGAATGCAGCATAACACACCTGTTTTATCTTTTAATTCTAACCCGGTTCTTTTGTCTGAAGGCCCCAAGAAGTAACACTCGGGATACAGGAATCAGCTTCAAGTAGATTTATTTTCTTCTGGTTAAATGCAGAGTTATTACAGCGCTGGGCTCTGAGAGATGACAAGTCTCCAAGAGCATCGATAATCACAAATCATTCACATTTATCTTCTCGGGCTGGGACTGCCCTATACATTATTGTTCAAAATAATAGCAGTACAATGTGACTAACCAGAATAATCCAGGTTTTTAGTATATTTTTTATTGCTACATGGCAAACAAGTTACCAGTAGGTGCAGTAGATTCTCAGAAAGCAAACAAGACCCAGCATTCATGATATGCACGCTCTTAAGGCTGTGAAATTGGGCAATTAGTTGAAAGGGGTGTGTTCAAAAAAATAGCAGTGTCTGCCGTTGACTGTACAAACACAAAACTATGTTGTACAAACGTTTTTGTTTCTAGGATTTAGCAATCCTGTGAATCACTAAACTAATATTTAGTTGTATGACCACAGTTTGTTATAACTGCTTCACATCTGTGTGGCATGGAGTCAACCAACTTGTGGCACCTTTCAGCTGTTATTACACTCCATGATTCTTTAACAACATTCCACAATTCATTTACATTTCTTGGTTTTGCTTCAGAAACAGCATTTTTGATATCACCCCACAAGTTCTCGATTGGATTAAAGTCCGGGGATTGGGCTGGCCACTCCATAACATTAATTTTGTTGGTTTGGAACCAACACTTTGCTCGTTTACTAGTGTGTTTGGGGTCATTGTCTTGTTGAAACAACCATTTCAAGGGCATGTCCTCTTCAGCATAAGGCAACATGACCTCTTCAAGTATTTTGACATATGCAAACTGATCCATGATCCCTGGTATGCGATAAATAGGCCCAACACCATAGTAGGAGAAACATGCCCATATCATGATGCTTGCACCACCATGCTTCACTGTCTTCACTGTGTACTGTGGCTTGAATTCAGAGTTTGGGGGTCGTCTCACAAACTGTCTGTGGCCCTTGGACCCAAAAAGAACAATTTTACTCTCATCAGTCCACAAAATGTTCCTCCATTTCTCTTTAGGCCAGTTGATGTGTTCTTTGGCAAATTGTAACCTCTTCTGCACATGCCTTTTTTTTAACAGAGGGACTTTGCGGGGGATTCTTGAAAATAGATTAGCTTCACACAGACGTCTTCTAACTGTCACAGTACTTACAGGTAACTCCAGACTGTCTTTGATCATCCTGGAGCTGATCATTGGCTGGGCCTTTGCCATTCTGGTTATTCTTCGATCCATTTTGATGGTTGTCTTCCGTTTTCTTCCACGTCTCTCTGGTTTTGCTCTCCATTTTAAGGCATTGGAGATCATTTTAGCTGAACAGCCTATAATTTTTTGCACCTCTTTATAGGTTTTCCCCTCTCCAATCAACTTTTTAATCAAAGTACGCTGTTCTTCTGAACAATGTCTTGAACGACCCATTTTCCTCAGGCTTTCAAATGCATGTTCAACAAGTGCTGGCTTCATCCTTAAATAGGGGCCACCTGATTCACACCTGTTATTTCACAAAATTGATGACCTCACTGATTGAATGCCACACTGCTATTTTTTTAACACACATGGACATGCATTTAGCTGTGTCACTTACTTCCCTGATTCTGTTGTAAAAACCCCCTTACTCATAGTTCAAACATGAGTGAAAAGTTCAAGCTCGTCAGACTTCCACGTCTGTAAAATAGCATAAATTAACAGTATCTTATCTTTAGTTTCCAAGACACTTGTCTATGCAATCTACTCTTGCACAATTATCCAAGAAAATAAGAAACACTACAAGTTGACCTGCAGCTGAAAATTATAACTATTATGCATGTATAAGAGCCAGGTTAATACTGATACATGGTGCTGTTAATAAAACACAAACAGTCATATTAAACTTTATCATTCTAAAGCAAAATAATACTAACAGTAAATAAAACAACTGCAACTCCTGAAATCCAATTCTAACAGATCCCTAATAAACATGGCTAAGGAAAGCAAAACTGCAGGGCTTATTTCCTCATTACAGCAGCTACAGTGCACTTGATCAAGGCTCTTAACCGCCAGCTGTTCCCATACAGCTGCTCAGTGACCAGCAGATCAGACTGGACAGCTGCCAGGTGTAAATAGAAGGAGCTGGGTGTTCCTGAAAAAAAGAGCACCATGAAACTACCCTGAGTATAGATAAACTATAGAGTCTGTATCAGTTTATTTAAAAGACTTCATCAATAGGGTGGATGTTTTTGCTTGATAACACATTTGAATCCATGGCATCAGGCTGATGTCCAGTCCCTGCCCTAGTGCCTCATCAAATTTAAACAAAAAAAAAAACAAAATCAAGAAGTACTTCTGAAGTCACATGCACTTGTTTCTTATTTATCCTGTTTGGGAAGCTTCACTAGACCTCCATGATACTGACTCTGTTCATTAAATCTCTGCATTCTACGCCCTGCTCATTATCTGAAATGTAGCCTTTTGTGTGCACTGTATTGTACAAATATGAAACATGCGAGTGTGAAAAATGCACATTGTTGCAGTTTATCTGAAACCCTTAAATGAAAAACAATGGTAATTGATAAACATATGTGCCATCAAGGCACAATGTAGCTTTCTGGGCAAAACTAAACATTTTACTTGTTATTCTTCTTCTGGGTGGAGAGACTGTCTGGTTTGTCACTTTGTCACTTAACCAACAAATCCTGTTTAGTTTGGATTAATTCAAGTGTAATGTTTGTCTGAAAGATAGCATTAGAAGGAGTCAACAGCAGGATTTATAGAACCTCCACCTCACAAAACCGTATATAATCTACAAAGATATGACATTTAAAGCTAGTGTTCTATGAGCCGAGTGTGGCTTGGTTCATGACTGTTTCTGGACTGTAGGAGGCTTTATGTCGACACAATGGTGTCAAAATCTGTTGTAAAATATTGATTTATTTATGCAAGATAGTTCACACAGACACACAAGAAATCAACATCATAAAATCAATACCAATCAATCTCAAAAATATAAAAATCTGCAAATAACAGTTTAGTCATATTTGAGTTAAACTGCAATCACATGATGATTCAAAATTATTTAACAAACTATGAATAAAATTCTGTATTTGTGGTTTTACATGAAGTGAAAATTTTCCATCCTTGACTATTTGTAATGACAGTAATAATACTTATGATGAAAAAATAAAAAATAAGGGAGGCACATATGATCAGAAGACAAGTATCTTTCACTCACTATTCAGTATTACATAAAAACAAAAGTTCCTACATTGTCTCTCTGATTGATTTTTACTAAATAACCGCTGTAGTAACTTGTGTTATCCGGTGTAAAGTGGCTCTTCTGTAACCGTGTGCTGAGGATAAGTTAGAAGTTTTCATAGTGATGAATGAAATGAGCCTGATCCCTCTTGTTCATCTGCTGGCAAGCTTTCTCCACATTCTTGGTCAGTCCTGGTGGTCCACAGCTGAAAACACCAATTTTTCCCACCTACAGAAAATACACATTTAAAAGTTAAAATAATTTTTCATGTTAGCCAGACTTGTACTGAGCAAATTTTCATCCAAGCAAGATGCAGATGATGGACTGACATCAGGGTGAACTTCTTGGAGTGAGGTGAAAAAGGACACGAACGGTGGACGGCCAAAGTGGGTGACAGATCGCAGGCCAGTGAAGAGACTGCGGTTCCAGACCTTTTGGAAGTGGCGCTCACACACGTACTGTAGACAGATTTCAAAGACAATTAGTGGCTTCCATTTCTATATAAAGAATAGGTCAACATTTTGGGAAAGAACGTTAGCCAGCAGGTAGATAGTTTAGCATAAAGACTGTAAACAAGAGAAACAACCAGCTCAGCTATTGGTTTCTAATGGTTGAGAGCTCATAGACACCCAAAAACCACTACACATTTTTGTTCCCGCTTTGCTTAACAAATATGAAAAGTGGAATCTTCTCATCCAAGTCTATGCAAGAAAACAAATTTCCCAAAATATAAAACTATTTCTGGACTATACAATGCATGTATTTAGGAATCAACATTATTAAAATGTAGGCTTATTAAAAATTTTAGCATTTCAGTCTATTTTCAATTTTTTGTTACACTTGGAAAAACTCACCAGCATGGTGGTACGGAGGTCAAACTTCTCGGCCACCTGAGTGATGTAAGTGTGGACTGAGACCAGCTCCTGAGTGTCCATCTCCTCCACCTCCCTGATGATGTCGGACACCCACTCAAACTGACGCTGCGTCCGAGTCACCCAGATGAAGTACACCTTCAAATGAGTGACTGTTAGCACAAGTTTATTTATAGAATAAGTGTGTAGAAATAAATACAGCTTCAGGGAGGAATATAAAATAAAATGTGCTGTAGGTTGATTTTAAGTGGCACCTTTTTACACTGAATCTTGGACTTAATGGATGACTTGAACACTAAGTCTTTGAGGATGGAAGCAAATGGGGTGACTCCGATTCCTCCTCCCACCAGAACAGAGACCTCAAAGTCAGTCCACTCCTGATGGCCCTCACCAAAAGGGCCGTCTAAGTACAGCTGGGGATGAAATAAAATATGGATGCTAAAAGACAAAGAATGGAAATGAGAGGAAAATGTTCACACATAAACAGTGCAATGCCATGCCTTTGGGTAGGCTCCAAGCTCGAGCAGGCTTTCTTCAGTGTAGAGCTCTCGGAGCTGGCTGGTCCAGGGTCCCACAGCTCGGATATGCAGGCTGAGGGTCTCTTCGTGAGGTGCTGATGTCAGTGTGAATGGGTGGTACTCATCTGTGCCCAACATCAGACATGCTATGCGAACCCACTGGCCTGAACGATAAACAAAACCCTGTGGTCGCTTAAACTCCAGGTGCGTCACACCTACAGGTAGGAGAGCCGAGGGAAGTGTGACCTCAAATGCACAATGTATACACATTACAAGACATTCATTACTTTAAAAAGTGCAATTTCAATTACAAAGCCCTGAAACAGAAGAGAGACAGAATAAGGAGATATTTTAAGAGGCCGACTATGCAGTGTTTCTCCAAAAAAAGGCTACTGTAACTGTCACCTGAAGGCAGCAGCTCAGCTCTGACCACTGGGATCTGCAACTTCTTCCTGCTCAAGCTGATGAGTTTGTCCAGCAGGAAGAGCAGGGCAGGAGGGATCAGATAGATGTAGAAACGGGGCTCTTGGAGAAGGCCGAAGCTGCCATGAATAACTGTCTGTTGAAGACATCTAGTAAAACAACTGTTCCGTCATGAAAACCATCTGACTGCGCAGTGTGTTTCAAAGTTAGAAAAGTACTTACTAGAATGTACACAACAATGTAGAGGTAATGTGTGATCCAAAATCCACGAAAACTGATGCGACGGAAATAGTATGAGGCAAAAACGTACATAAATGATAAAGTAAAAAGAAGCAAGACACCAGTCATTCCTAGAAAAAGGACAAAGCAGAGAAAAAAACAAAATTATCACATATTATAACAAGGAGTCCAGAAGGTCTAAAGTTTCCTAATATACCTGGAATAGTTTGAAAGAACCACCATGACCACTTGAGAGGAAGTTCAGACCTAAAATAAAAACACACTGTAAATTAGCTAATGAAGTTCCTGTGCAAAGCATAAAGATATCTACTAAAATCAGGCCTTACCCATTGTTGGAGAAGACCTTTGGGAACAGACAAGCCAGAATGCTGAGGTTGCTGATGGAGAAGATGTAGATGTTGACCACATGGCCCAAACTATGAACAACTACAGCAAGAACAGGAAAAGGACTGAGCTCACAAAATAACATATAAACAAGTGAAAACGTGGCTACTCAAAACGTCACTTACAGTGCCATTGTGGTAATACTCTATCTTTCTCTATACCAACCTGAAAGGATGATGGCAGTCATGGCCATGAAGCGATGGAAGTCAATAGCTGCATCAAAGGGGATGTATCGGTTGAGGAAAGTCTCTCGGCACAATGTGATGAGGTTGCGGCACACAGTGAGGAGCATGTACGGAAACAGAAAAGAGATGGCGGCTGCTGATCCACGAGACACAATGATGCCCACAACTGAAGTCTCAGGCATGCCAGTATTTTCAGCCTGCAAACCGTAGTCTGAACACAGTATTTCTAGTCAGGTTAGACGAAAAAGTACGATGCTATGGGGAGATAAAGCACTATAATACATAAAGACAAAATGAGGAAATAAAACAAGCAGTAAAAATGTAAGCAGAAATGTTTTTCTACTCACAGTAGCATCTTTCAAGTGCCACACCAGCTGTGATCCCATATACAATGATGAAGCAAACAATATGACGCCGATAATTCTCAATGAAGCGTTTGAACTCCTGGATCTTCTGCTGGACTGGGTTCCTTATGTACCGTTTACGCTTGGGCTTTACATAGACATTTGGAGTGTTCATGCTTGACCTGAAAATATTCATATAAACCTTATTCAGTAAATGTTCTCTGTTCTAGCATTGGACTATATGACCATATTCAAGTCGGCCAAACCACAGAGGAAGAAGGGTGTGACACTGTTACTCTCTATTTTAAATTCCAATGGTTTTGGTAACCACAAGCCAACATGAAATGGGTACAAATGTAAAGTCCTCGGTACATGACATTCCCTTTTATTCACCCAGAAAGTCAACAAAAAGTTACAAGAGCATAAATATGAAACTATACTTTTTCCGTCTTCGGATGTCCTGTCCATCTGTCTTGTTGCTGAAAAAAAAATGGGGGGGGCATCAGTAGCTTGGAAACAATCACAAAATAAAAACAATGAAAGTACAAAATATTTTTCTATTATATTAATAAGCATCTGTGACCTGGATGAGAAATTACAGTGTCTTTTTTTCTCACCTGTTTGCTGGACAGATGAAGGATACTCTCTGCTCTCGACTCAGTCGCTTCTTGCCCTGTTTCTCCATCCCTGCATACACAGCAGACAAATTCATAAGAGATAAAGCTTTTAAAATAAAACAAAGCTTTAACCTGTCTCCAACCTTTGACATTGAGTTGAGCAAACTGGAGCTCCTTCTCGTGGTCCCGCAGGAGAAAATGAAAATCCTCCCATGAGATTTTCTCCTTGTCTTCAAAGCCTGCAGCCTGCATCATGGCCTTGATGCCGTCCTCTGCTTGGCTCTTTGACAGAGCACCATTGGAGATTTCAATAAAAGACCTGCAGCACAACAAAAGGGTTAATACAATCCATCAAACATGCAAAAACAAACAACAACTTAGTTCAGGCATAAAAAAAAAACCAAACCTGAGCATTCTGGCAAATTCTTCTTTTGACAAAAAACCAGTTCCATTAATGTCGTTCATGGAGAACATCAGTTTGGATTTTTCTTCAGGAGACCCTGGACAAATACATCACTGATGACATAAAGTAGGACAAGACTGATACTATTTACTTGATGTATTTAATGACTGACCTAATTGTTTGCAAGTTAACATTTACTGACCGCAAAGTTACAGTAGATTCTCCCTGGAATCAGCATGCACTATTTTTATGACATGTTACAGTATGACAGAATATGCTGAAGTGACTGGTTTTACCTTTCATAAAGATAACTATAACATCAAGGAACTCTTGGAAGGAGAGGTACCCGTTTCCATCTTTATCAGCTAGTGTGAACATGGAGTCCACAAATAAAGAGTCAGACTTGAGGCCCAGTGCATCAGCAACCTCTGATGCTGTCAGCTCACACCGGAGAACCTCTCTGGCTCTCTCACGGGAAACGCCACTCATGTCCCCAGCATCACACTTCTCTATTTCTAAGACCTATGCACCAGAGGGACAGTGTCATTATATGTCACCACAGTGTCATTAGTTATATCACCAACGTCAACTGAGCTCACCACAGAGACCAACAATTAGTTCTTTTGGTTTGAGGCTAGAACTAATTTGACCTCAAACAAAGTTTGACGACATTTTGTGGCTGAGCTTAAAGCTGTTGCCACTGTAACAGAGCAGAGGATGAGGTAAACATCCAGAGGCTGACGGTACCTTAGAGAAAGCGTGTCGAATGAAAGTTTCCACAATCTGAGCCCTCTGCTCTCTGGTCAAGGCCTCCTTCAGCACTTCCTTCTCTCTCATCTCCTTCACCCTAATCTCCAGCCCGATGTCTGTGACCCTCAGGCACAGATGTCTGACAAATGCTGTACGTTTGCTCTCGTCATCAAAAAACAGCACCTGGATGTGTAAAGAGAGGATGTATCAACATCTAGATGCAATGAAAAATAAAAGCAAAAGTAACTTCACGGTGTAAGTGAGAAAACTGGATATGAATAAACTGCAAACATATTTATTGTGAACACAGAATGTGACTGAAAAAGTGCTGCTGCTGCACAAAGTTTGTTCTTGCAACTTGAATCAGAGTAAAGCTGTTTTTAGGTCAAAATCTGAAGGTGCAAACCATCCCCTCCAACTTCAAGCTACTCACCAGATCATACTCCTTTGGTACTTTGAGCAGCAGAGCTTTACAGTGGCAGTCAGTGGAGAGAAGGACATCTAGGTGGTCCTGGTTGCCTAGACTAAGGCAGCGCTGTGCAGTTCCAGATTTATCAAAGACCTGCAATCTTCTCTTCTCATCCACATCCACACTGACAGGCTGCAGATGTTTTTTAGGGCCCTGCCACTCATAGGCTGTGGAGCAAAAGCAGAATGAGATGAAGTCTACCAGTGTAACATACAAGAAAATACCAGCAGTAGAAAAAACAAAAGAGATTTTGGTTTCACTGGCTCCTGTGAATGACTGATTATCAGTTGATTTCAGTTAATGTCAACTCTCAGTTGAGATTTGTAGCTTAACTTTACTACTCGCCTCTCTCATGTTAACACTTAAATTCATATAATCTGCTCAGAATTACAGTATTGTGTTGATACTTACATGGCATGGCTGAAGGCCGGTATAGTATTAAACCATGGCTGCTACAGTAATAGTCACCCAATGTTAATTAATAACTGACTTTGTGTCATGTGTAAAACCTGACTGATAGATACTTTTACTAATGTTGGACATGGTAAGTAAAGTATTAGTTTTTTTTTATTCCCACAGATTCCATACCTATGATTCCCACAGCTGGCTGCTCTGTTTTATCACCAGCCTTTCTTCTTCTCTCGAACTTGCTGTATCTGTACTTGCGAAGATATGCCACCATACAGGCCACGAGAAAACTCACTGTAAAGGCAGAAAAGAAAAAAGAATAATCAAACCACTGATGAGTGATTTTATTAGTATTATAATATTACTACAGTAGAAAAAGAGAAGGATTTGTGATTATGATACTGACCAACAGGAAAGAGGAAGAGAACGACAATAAATATCCCAAAGCCCGGTTTGCTCCCGTCAAAGTAATTAAGTTTGGTAGCATTAGTGCAGGGACAGAGCACTGATGCACTCAGCTGTGTGGGCTGGGGACAAGGATCACCTTTGGGTAAAAAAAAAGACATTTTTATCCATTCATTAAATATTGCTTTAAAATTTTTAAGTTTTATTTGTCTATGAAGCAAACAAATCATTTTATATTTTACCATCCTTCCAGAAGAACACACTATTTTGTATATCGGTGGCCTCTGCTCTGGTGACTGCAATAAGCACGTCATAGTATGTCACTTTGCGGATTGTCTGGATCTCCTCATCTGTAAACAAACTGGAAAACACCTCAAAAATAAGAACATACTGTGATGAGATGACTCGCATGATGTGGCTAGATGACTTTATCACAGCCATTTGTACTGTATGTTGGAAGTCCTCACCCATTCTGTTTATTCTCAAACCAGAAGCGATCTCCATTTCTAATGCGTTCAAACTGGTCCAAGATTATGGCAGAGAACACCGGACCCGGGCCATCCACAGATTCCAGCAGTCCTCCAGGGAAGAGCTCCAGTTTTGAGATGTCTCCGTTATACAGCTCTGCAACATCTCGAAGCAACTGCATACAAAACAGTTAAATTCACAGGATTAAGCATGTCTGATCATTCTTTGATTAAAGACATTTCTTACTTGCAAGACTGCGCCTTTTACCTGCGGGTTGGTGTGGCTGAGCTCAGGATTTATGTCCTCAAATGTTTTTACAGGAGGCAGATCCAGAGCTTCTCTGACCTCAGTGTAACTTCGCAGACCAAAGTCTCTTCCTCTCTGGATAGTCAGGGCCACCAAATCTGTCCGGGTGAACCTCAGGGGTCCATACATGTAGTCTGTCAAAATGTAAATCAGATCAGGGTAGTGAATATCAGTTAAATAGGTATTAAAGAATGGTAGAGTACAGTGAAAGAGCCAGCGAATAATAATTTTAAACCTCTCAGGTCCTCCACAACAATATTATCTTCTCTTTCTGCAATCTGGGAAGCCATGCCCATAAGGAGGTCATCTATGTCCTGACTTGTCTTCACATTGGGTGCCTGGAAACAAAATGATAAGACATTATAATTTCATCTCTCTAACAAATTCATCATGGAGGCCATATAAAGTGGAGGGCGACTCCACCAATTCTTTGGAAAGATCTTTGTAGAGAAACCATGACGATCCATCACATTATGCAATTGCCCTTGAAGAGATCCTTATTTAACAGGATACATATAACGCCAACATTCATTAGGCTGCACCAACTATAAAATAAGATGCAGTAATAAAATCCCATAAAATAGAAGTGTTCAGCTAACATTATTTATAATTCAGTCAGCAGTAGAGTGCATTGGAGAAAAGGTTTGAAGTAATAAACACATATACTGAACACAACATTCAGTTTACTGTCAAACTCCTCCTTGCTCTTACAAGATGCAACTATGTGGCTTAATCATGATTATACCTGACGTTTCCAAAAGCTGTTACAAAGACGCACAGCTGGTGACAAGCTGCCATCTATATTGATAATCTTCCGAAAATGGCAGGGTCTATCTCTGTAGGGGAAAGGAGAGAAGATGCAAGAGACTATTTGTCTTATAAAAAAAAAAATCATACAGGGGTAGGGGGGCTTGGGGGGTTCTATCAGTACCTCATGTAAACACCAGGTGGGGCCATAGTGATACCAAATCGAATGGCAGCAGCCTGAAACTCAGGAGAGATTCCTGGGTCAACAAACTTCTGGTAACCTGTGCATAGATTATACAAAACAGAAGGATAGAGATCAACAAACTTTGTAAAATACAAGCTGAGTTAGTAATGATCCTTGTGCATGCAAACCTCCTAGATTATATCATCATCTAAATGGTCAAAATGAGGCAAAAAAGCAGTACAGATACAAAATGAAAAGACATTAAGAAGCAGGGGT